AGTTTCACAAGTAGGATGTAGTTTATTTCATCTGTAACATTTCCCAACAAGATAGAAGTCCTTACACAAAGTTAGATTTAAAGAATTAGCTAATCGAGCCCGGCGCGATGGCGCAGTGGTTAAGGTCCTCCCCTTGCACGCCCGGGATCCCATATGGGCGCTGGTTCTATCCCAGCAGCCCCACTTCCCTTCCAGCTCCCTGCCTGTGGCCCGGGAAAGCAGTCGAGGACAGCCCAAAGCTTTGGGACCCTGCACCCGCGTGGGAGACCCTGAAGAGGCTTCTGGCTTCGGATCGGCATAGCATCGGCCGTTGCACTCACTTGGGGAGTGAATATTCGGACGGAAGATCTTCCTCTCTGTCTCTCCTCTCTGTATATCTGCCTTTCCAATAAAAAATAATAAAAATAAATCTTTTAAAAAAAAAGAATTAGCTAATCTGGGATAACTCAATCAAAACTTTCCATTTAAAATTATGTACACACCTATGATATGAAGACAACATGAGGGATATTGAAACTCCTGGCATAGACCAACTTCCTCAGTAAAGACATTTAATTAGCCCTCAGTTTTGAAAAGACTGTTGTCCACATGGCATACACAGGCATTGGTGAAGGCTCCATGAGAGACAGCAGGTGGTGGCGTATCTAGAATGGATCCCATCTCAAACTGGGAAGCAAAAGAAAAGGGTCCAGAATTGTTCCTTGTATAACAACCTTTTCACAGGTCTCACAGGAACTCAAGGTTCCCAGGAGAAATACTTTACTTCCTCTCAAGGGCAGGATCCTCATTTATCCAAGGACCTCCCACTAAGGCCCATTTTTTTTTTTTTTCCCTTTCTCAAGACCATTTGAAAGGCAGAGTGGCAGAGGGGATGGAGCAGGATTTTCTCCTCTGGTTTACTTCCTCCCTAAAGGGCTGTTATGACTCAGGTTGGCTTAAGCAAAAGCCAGGAATCCAGACTCCCATCCAGACCTTCCATGTGGGTGGCAGTGGTTCCAGCAGTTGGCACTCTACAGTTGGTTTCCTGGTGTGTTAACAGGAAGCTGGATTAGAAGCAGAGCAATTGGAACTAGAACCAGGGCTGCAAAGTGAGATGCAAGAGGCTGCTTTAACTTGCTACAGCAGGATGCCAGTCCCTAAGCCATAAAGGTTTCATAGCACCCCCACTGCTGTCCACCTGGAAACCAAGCCCTCAGTCTCCAGAGCAGTACCCAAACCACAGCACTATCTTTAAACAGCCCACCAATTAAAGTTCCTTTGAGGTTCTTGTCATCCTGATTACTTAATTGTTCTAATCTTCCCTGGTTCAGGAAAGCCTATTTTCCCTCTGTGAATTCATTCTTCGAACTGTCCATCCTTCATCATTCTTTGGCTCCAAAGTCATCTCCCTCTATCTCCAGTTGATACAACTAACTTCAAAATTCTGCTTAATTTCTCCTCCTGCGAGCCTTTCCTGAAGCACCCAACTTCATCTAGTGCATCTTCTTCTGACCCTTGAAGCCAGGATCTACTGTCCCATTGGGAACCTACAGAGGCAGAAAGGAACCTGTAAGCCCTTTCTCTAGGTTTCTCTGTCCTCTCTTCCTCCAGTGTTCTGAACCTCTTAAATGGGGCTGTGACTGACCACTGGGGGGTCAAAGCCAGAAACCCAGTGGGGTGACTGCAACCCTCCCTGAGAGCTCAGACTCAGTCAACAAGCCTGCTGGCTGCAGCTTCTCAATAGCCTTCAGCTTTGCCCCCGCTCTCTCTTTTCCATCAGGCAATGATCTTCATTCAGGCCCTCTTTCTTGTCTCCTGAAAAGTAGATTCCAAAGCAAGGATTTTGGTGCAGGCACTTTGGGAGGTGATCACAGGAAGTGCTGTGAAGGAATGGGGAAGGGAAAAGGAGAAGAGGTCCTTTGTATGTCATTTGGGGGGTCTCCACTGCAGGCAACAGCAGGTATGGGGAACCCATTGGGAAATCCCTCCTCAAATCCCCCAGAGTCCAGGAAACATGTTACAAAAATGTCTTCCTGAGGTGAGGAAGCTGGGGTGCTTTTCTACCAACACACACCTGCGCCAGGGCCTGGGCATGCCCCCAAATGGAGACCCACGGGTCCCTCAGCAGGTAAAGAAATGCTTTGTGGAGGTCTAGGGATGTGTCTGTTGGGAAGGGAAGTCTCAGACCGCAGTAGCTATACCATCAGCACCTCCTTATTGTTGTCCTACCTCCAGTGCTGCTTGTATCCACCTGTTCCCAACTGCTATATTGAGTGATCTTTCTAAAAACGCCAAACAGATCAAGCTCTGCAACCTGCTCAAACCTGTTGGCTTCCCGACTAAAACCAAGTGCTGTGACTTGATGTGCTAAAGCTCTGCCCGCTGTCACTCTCCCACTCTTTCAGCCTCGTCTCCCACCGCTCTATCCTCTAGGCACACGCTCAGCATGTCCTTTGGCCTAGAAGCTACTCACAGATATCTGACACACATTTGTGTGCTGTGGACAATCATACTGTGGCTGAAGTGCGGACTGAGTGGCAGGAATCTGCTCTTGAAAATGAGGAGAGGGACACATACAAAAAAACCCTTGCATTTGGACTAAAACTCTACATCAGAGAAAGATCCTTGGAGAACACCAGTTGGAAGACTTGGCGGACATGAAGGGGCTGGCCTGCAGACAGGGGGCACAGGTTGGCGTGTGGGCGAAGTGCTTCAGAGTTGTTGGGCAGGAGGGAATGAGGGAGGGGCTGGGCAAATGACCAGAGTTGTCTGAGCCCCGGGGAGCTTGGGCTTCACGAGGGTATTTCAAAAAGTTTATGAAAAATGAAACTATGAGATCAGTGTGTTTTCTAGTGCAGAAAAATGTTGAAATCTACAGTTTTTTCTTCAAAGGCATTTTCCCCAAATTCTTAAAGCCCTCATATTCCTCACATCAAGATAAGAGGGTGGACATTTGCTTTAGCAGCAACATACTCAGACGTCCCATCAGAGCGCCTGCACTGGAGTCCGGGCTCTGCCTCTGACTCTAGCTTCCTGTTGATGCACAGCCAGAGATGCAGCAGGTGGTGGCACAAGTGTCTGGATCCCTGGGGTGCTTATGGAAGACCCTGGCTGGGGCTCACCACTCCTGGCTTCTACCAGTAGCTGGAGGTCAGAGCCACAGCATGGGAGTTCTGCTTCAGTTTACCATTCAAATAAAAGTGAAAAGCAATGAAGACTAATGGGAGAACCCCTTTTTTCATTCATTAGAAACCTTTTTGGATTCACTTGGGCATTGCTTCCTCTAAGAAGCCTCCTGAATGCTCTTCTTTCTCGATACCCAGGATCCTGGGATTGTCCCCCTTGCAGTGGTTAGGTCTTTCCCAGTGCCCCCTCCCACAGCCTGCTAGCTGTTGTGAAAGAGCTGCTCTGGCTCATCATTGTACCCAGCAGCTCCTTTGCAGCCAGGAGGCCTTCATGGAGGCACAGATGTCGCCCCACCAAAGCCCCTCCAGGCCAACGACTCAGTACAGTGCTCCGGGGGTGGTATGTGCAGTAGCTGTGCTCCGGAAATCTCCACCTTTCCCTCCCCTTCCCTTCCTTCTCTCCTTCGCTCCCTTGCAGCGGTGACGACTTCGGCTTTGACATGCAGGGAGTGGAGAGGTGCTCTGGAAGGTGACGCAAATGCTCTTTTCATTTTTGCTTCTAGTAGACTCGTCGCCAAGTTCTCGGCTTGGCTTTCTGGGGTGACCAGTCACATTGGAATGGGTAGGGGTGGGCAGCCTGGGCAGAGTCCTCCGTGCCCCAGGGGGCTCAGCTTCTGGAAGCTGCAGTGGAACAACCCGAGGAAGAAAATTTCTCTTGGAACAGTCTGTTCCCGTGGGCCTCGCCTCTGCCTTCAGGGTGGAGGCAGGTAGGAAAGGGGGGAGTCAGTTGCCTCACTCCAAATCCCAAGATTTGAGGGGAAAGTTTTAAACTCAGTATTTTCCTGGGGCACAGGAGCCAAATGTAGGTGACTGTGTGGCTTATGGCTGGTTAAAAAGCACGTATTCGCCCATGACGGACTGATTTCCAGGGTTACAGTGCCTTGGTGCTGGCTGCCCTGACACGCATGCGGGGTTTGGAGGGGCTCTCCAGCCTCATTTCCTGAGTCGGTTGTCTGTGTGCTGCCTTTGTGTCCGGCTCTCCCCAGCACATGGCTTTGTCGTCCTTGAGAGGAAGCCTGTGAGCCTCCAGCTTCCTTTGTCACTTCCCAGTTCCTCTCACAGCTGCTCACCCGCACGGAGCACTTTGTTTTACAACGTTGTGGGGATGGGCTTTTCATCTTCACAGGCAAATAACCACGTGGTTTTGTGGCCACCCCATAGGTACTTCTGGGTGCAGGTGTAGGCAGTGTGCGCCTGAGGGGGAGACCGACTCCCTAAAGAGTGCTCTGCACCAGATCAGTGGCACTCTCCCCCCACCAGCGTTTTCAAGCAGCTAGGTGACCAGTTCCAGTCCTCCTGGCTCTCTGTGACCCTGACCAGGTCCTGTCAATGCTCAGCCTCCCTTCCCTCATCCGTCAAGTGGGAATAGAAACATTCTATTCGTGGATGCTGAAGGATGGCAGGAGGCACCATTCAAAAGGTTTCTGAAACGGTTCAGCGCTGCAGGTGGCACTAGCTACCATCGTCAGGACGGGCCGAAAAAGACCCTCTTGGCAAGGCAGGGCCCGGGGGTCGGGGGCCCAGGGTGCGGGCTCAGCGCGAGCGAGCTCAGGTGCGGCTCGGGCCCGGGGGAGGACGTGGACGCGGCCGGCCAAGTGCGCCCCGAGGGCGCGGCTCCAGCCGTCCTCGAGGACGCCGACCGAGCGCCCGCCCCGCACGCCCGCCTCCCGCCCCACGGCCGGGCCCGCGCGCGTCACAGCGCCGCTCCGGGCCTCGGCTCCCGCGGGCCGGCCGGGGCTGAGGGGGTGGCGGGGTGTCGGGGGAGCGCGACGCCGCCCGGGACGCCCCGCCCTGGGAGGCGCCCCGTGCCGCGTCAAGTGACCAGTCTCCCTTCCAGAACACGGGGCTTCGGAGGGAAGGCGAACTCCAGCCCGCAGCCCGGCGCCAAGCCGCCGTCATCTCCTTCCTGTGCCGGGTGAGCCGTCTCCTCAGCCACCCGGAAAACATAGTCCGCCCCTCCCGTCCTTGCGCCAGAGCGCTCGCCTTCCAAGCAGTCCCTCCCTGGGCCCGAACCTTTGTCTTCCCCGCAGCAGATCCTGAAGGACCCGCCAGGAGGCTAAGTCAGCCCCGACAGACTACCCTACGCCACAGGCAAAAAGACAGTCCCGGGCCAGGGAGCGCAGGGCCGGGCTGGCGGAGGGACACCGCAGGGCGGGGGCGCAGTGCGCACGCGCGCCCGGGAACGAGTTCCGGTCTGGCCGAGGCCTGGCTCCTAAAAATAGCCCCGGTGTGGGGATCCGTGCGCGGATGTCCCGGCGAGTCCCGGGCTGAGGGAGGCGGCTCCGGGCGGCTCCGGGCGGCGCGCAGCGGAGCGCGGCTGGCGGACCCGGGCTGCGGCGGCCGTGCGCCCGCCGGCTGCGCCGGAGACACGGTGAGGGCCGCGGCGCCGTCCGTGCCGGAGGGGGGCGGCGTCTCCGTGAGGGGAGCCGGGGAGGACTGAGATGGATGGTGGCGGTGGCGGTGGCGGGGAGCGGGGACGACGCGGCTGAAGAGGGGCGTCTGCGGGACCCCGGGCACCCGCGGGGACCTGGGCGCGAGCCGGGCTGGCCGGGCCGGGGTGGGCACCGAGGGACGCTGAGGGGCGCGGCGCCCCGGGGTGGGGGCGGGGTGCCCCGAGGGCGGGCCCCGGGGGTCTGCCGGGCGCAGGGGCGGCTCGGCCGCGCGGGGTCGTCGCCGCCGCCGCCCCCTCTTCCTCCTGCCCGCCGGGCCCGGGCGCCGCGTCTTCGGGGCACGGGGCACCAGGGGCGGCGGTGGACGTCGCCGCCTTCAAAGTTGACGGAGTTCCCCGGCGGCGTGTGCGGGGCGGAACGCGCGCAGGCCCCGTGCTCCCCCCAACCCGGCGCCTGGTCCTGCGAGGCCGGGGGTCTCCCCCAAGGGGATTGCGGGGTGGGGTTGGGGTGCGGTGGCGGCCTGCCGGTGTCGGACCTGAAGTTCCCGCATTTGTGCTTCGGTCCCAACTCTGCACAGCTGTGCCTGTCAGCGCGGGGTGGACGGTGCAGGGCGAGGGCGCGGGGCCCGAGCGGCGTGGGGGCGCCGCCCGCTGTCGGGCCAGGTGTGGGGTGGGACAGACTTGGCCTTTGGGTCGCAGTTCATCTTTGGTTTTGGAAGGGTTAAGCTCGGTGAGACCGCGCGAACAAGTTTGAGGACGATGAACATTGGTGAATTGGAAAGTAACATGATTATTACTTTTATTATTTTACCGTGGAAGGGGGACTGCAGCATTGTCGCTCAGACCCGAAGTGGATTGCTGGGCTGTGAAGCCAGCCTGCTGTCAGGGTCTCGTGGGGAACCATGTGTAAAGTGATCGGAATCCGGCGTTAACCCGCGTGTTTACAGTGGGACGGGGACTCCAGTAACGGTGCTGTGACAAAGGCCTGCTGCGATGTGTTAACAGTAATGCATGTATTTTTAAACCGAGCCGGTCTAACATTTTCCCAGTGTCTTGTACCGTCTATTACTATGTGCGGGGAAGGCTCTCCAAAGCTGTAATTAGGTGTACATTACACAAGAGTACTTTCCCTTTAAGAATCCAGCTGTGGTGTTTTGGCAACTGCTAAGTACTCCAGTTGTCAGTTTTAAAATCTCTGTTACCTTGGCAGTACTTGAGCAGCCTGTGGAAAAGGTAAACAGCATTAGGGTTCCCCCTCCCACACACAAATGACAATTCTTTTTAATATCCGTGCAAGAAGTGAAGGGTAAAAATAGCGATATTGTACTAATGTAGCTTTTCATATATTTAAAACGTTTGTTTTTGGATATTTGAGGAGCACTCAGCCTTTGTTCTTTTTTCTCCTCCTGTAAATGACCACTTTTGGGGTTGGAGGCAAAGGTGTTTTTGCTAAAGTGGGTACAGATTTAAATTGCAGTTTATATTAAGTAAAATATTTACGTAAGTGTAATGCTGTTGTTGCAAACAGTGGGATCAAGATTGACTGAAAGAAGATGACCCCATGACAGTGGAGTCACCCTAATTTTCGTTGTCAGTGATCTTGTTGCAGAGCTGTGGGGAAGGGGTTGTGTGGGAGCCCCCCCCCGGGGGGGGGCGGCACCAAATGACTGGACGTCCCTAGGTCCCCAGGCTCCAGAATCTGGAACAAGGCTGTTGGAAGAGGCTTCTGTTTCAGTCTGTTTACTACTCAGTGAATGGCAAGTCAGGTAATAGTTGTACCCACAGTGATTTGCTTGTCTTTCATTCCTAATGTGGTTATGTTTTTTCTTATTGGAACAAAGGTGTTTAAGGCATAGCTAATCCATCATTTAAAAAAAAATAAATTATTGGGAGGTGTTTGGAAGAAGGAAAACTGCTCATTGAGGCCCAAAAAATAATTACAGTGTTGCCATTTGAATTATGGTTGGAGAATAATTTCTTTTTGTATTCTTAGAGTTTTTATGTTTCCATTAATAGGCAGGAATGGCCAAAACTTAACTTTAGTAAAGTGTTGTTTCAAATGACAATTTATCCTTTCAAGTCGATTTCATTACATCTTTGTATTTTCTATTCAGTATGGGTTAATATTAATTAACATTCAAGCATTAGGAATGTCATCCTTTTTTTTTTTTACTGTCTAAAAGCAAAGTTGAATTATATATTGAGGGTGGCTAAATAATTGTGGAAATATTTATCAGGACATGCTTTTGAAATTTGTAATAGTCCAGTGAAACAATGGGGTTATGTCTGATTTAGGAGGAGGAAGTCACAAGCAGGTTGATTATTGGAAAATAGAAAATTTTGTCAGTTTTGGAAAGCCATAAAACCTCCCTTTCCAAGGAATTTAATGAAACGTGCAATGATGATGGTCTGATTTTAAAGTCCTGATTTGTTTTGAAACATACAGTCTTGCATGTGCATGGTACAGAATCTAGCTAAAATAGCTCAAGTTTTTGTTTATGAGTGATTGGGCAATGAGAATATGCTTTGTATGCTGTAGGTCGTCATGATTACTTTTTTCTAAATTAAAAAAAAATCTGTGAACAGTCCTGGTAAGTTGAAGAACGGATGCCTTATCTCTTAATGCTGAAGTAACAAAAAAAGTGTAAATATGGAAATTAAATCAGTCTTTCAGCTAGCTAACCTCTTATAAGAGAATGTTTTGATCTGTCATATTGATTTGCAAGCCCTCATATGGCTAATTGCCTTTGTGGTCAGATCTTGACTCAGATCCCATCTCCAGAAATTGACAAAGAGATGGGAAATCTGTAGAATAGGAAGGAATTGGAGTACGTGCTTCATGGAGTTGCTAAGGCTTGAGAAGCAATGACTGTGAAGCTCACTGAGCTGGACAGACGTGCCAGGTCTGTGTGCTGCCGGGCTCCCTCTGTGCTTTCCTGCCCAGTGCATGCTCAGGGCTTCTCACCAGAAGAACTCTACAGTGCTGTAGGAATGGCAGGATGACAAAACGCTCAACTGTTTTGACTTAATTATCAGATTATTCATAAATTGTTTTGTTGACTATTCTGCAATAGATTTTTAATCTACAGTCTTAGTGTATTTCCTAGTCTTTGTGTTCACCTCCATTGTTGTGTGTGTTTAAGGAATTATTTTATTTGAAAGGCAGAGTTAGAGACAGAAGAGACAGAAATTTTCTGGTTCACTTCCCAGATGGCCTCAGTGGCTGAGGCTGGACCGGGCTGAAGCTGCGAGTTCTGGGTCTTCCCCATGGGTGTAGGGGCCCAGGGACCTGGCTCATTTTCCAGTGCTTTCTGAGGTATTTTAGTAGAGAGTTGGGTCGGGAGTGAGCAGCTGGGACTTGAGCCAGTGTCCATATAGAATTGCTGCTGTTGCAGGTGGAAGCTTTTCCCATGGTGCCTCACCACCAGTCCCCTAAAAAGCAGTTCTTAAAAGATTTTACGGGCCAGGCACAATAGCATAGTGGTTAAAGTCCTCACCTTGAATGCACCAGGATCCCATATGGATGCCAGTTCTAATCCCAGAAGCCCTGCTTCCCATTCAACTCCTGCTTGTGGCCTGGGAAAGCACTCCAGGACGGCCCAAAGCTTTGGGACCCTACACCTGAGTGGGAGACTTGGAGGAAGTTCCTGGCTCCTGGCTCCTGGCTCTGGCCTGGCCCAACTCCAGCATTGAGACCATTTGGGGAGTGAGCCAGTGGATGGAAGAGCTTTTTTTTTCCCTCTTCCTTCCTCTCTTTGACACTACCTTTCAAATAAATAAAATGCATTTAAAAAAAGATATTTATTTTTGTGTAAGACTTGAAATCGATGTGTAGTTTTTTTCATAGTACATACTTTTCACAAACTTTTCAAAGTATTCTTGTATTTGAATGTTGGTTTATAACAGCAGGTGATTTACTTCACCCATGGAACTGATGATGTTGAAAGCCAGAGGAATTGTTAATGTAAGTGGAAAATAGATGTTAATTAACCAGACTTCTAACAAATATCAACCATGGGACTTGGAAAAAAAAAGAAACATATTTATTTATTTGTTTTCCAAATCAGAGTGATAGAGACAGAGAAAAGATCTTCCACCCCCTGGTTTACTGCCTGAATGGCTTCAACAGCCCGAGCTGGTCCAGGCTGTAGCCAGGACTCTTAAACGCAGTTCTCCCACGTGTGTGACACGGGCCCAGGCGCTTGGCCCATGGTTTGCTGCCTTTCCAGGCATGTTTGCAGTTAGCTGGATTAGAAGTGGAGAACTGCAGCTGTAGCTGGGGGTAGGACATACTTGTGATAATAAGTGGTAGCTTAACATGTTGTGCCACAATCATGACATCTTATGGTTGTCTTAAAGTTATTTATTTTTTGCAGAAAAACTTTACTTTGTGGGATTTTTCTGGTTAAATCATTATTCATAAAGTTATGTCTTTGAAGAATTGTTTCCAGTATTGGATGGTAATTTACACTATGTGAGCTCATCCTTTGCACTTGGTCGTGTTTGTGACCAGCAGTTTGCACATG